CTACGACCGGAACAGGCAGGCTTCAGGAAGTACAAATCATGTGCGGATCAAATTGCAACGCTACACTACGCATCATCATAGAACAGAGTATAGAATGGCAGTCAACTCTACACCTCAACTTCATCGACTTTGAGAGGGCTCTTGACAGCGCCGACCGAGAGGTAATTTGGAAACTGCTTCAATAATACGGAATACCATAAACATTTATCAACCTCATCCAACAACTATATGAAGACGCCACATGTGAAGTAATTCACAATCGGAAGCTCAGTGATGCTTTTGAAGTGAAGACAGGAGTGAAACAAGGTTGTCTACTATCCCCCATGATATTCCTGATTGTGGTCGACTGGATCATGCAACAAACACTGAGGAGCGAGAAGAAGGGGATAGGCTGGCTGGATCGAGGAAAGAACCTAGAAGATCTGGATTTCGCCGATGACTTGTGCCTGATGTCACACAAACTTGAAGACCTACAGGCGAAAACAAACAAGTTGACAGAAGAGGTGAAGCAGCGAAGACGGGACTTCAAGTGAATATAGAGAAGACAGAAGTGATGAAGATACCGCACCAACAACTCCAACAAGAACAACAAACTTCAGTCACCATGAGCGGGAGAAACTTAAAGGAAGTAACCTCCTCCACCTATCTAGGCAGCACTGTTTCAACTACAGGCGGCACAGACGAGGATGTCAAATTCAGAATCGGAAAAGCAAGACAGGCGTTCATTTGCCTGAAACCAGTGTGGAGATCTTCTGCACTCAGCATGTGGAACAAGATCCGGATTGTCAACAACAACATCAAGTCAGTGCTTCTTTGTGATGGTTCAGAGACTTGGCGCGTCACGAAAGGGATATCCAATAAACTAAAGACATTCATCAACAACTGCTTACGCTGGCTCGCTACTGAAGATCAGATGGATTGCCATAAAGAATAAGCAACAAGGAGCTCTGGGAACGAACCAACCAAGAACCTATCACCCAACAAATATGTGGAAGGAAGTGGAGATGGATTGGGCATACACTGAGAAAGCCGACTGGGGACATCACGCGTCAGGCTAGGCCCTCGAGTGGAACCCAGATGGCAAGCGACGAGTTGGACGTCCGAAGGTGACATGGAGGAGATCGTGCGAGGAGGAAATGAGAGCTTGTGGGCTGTCGTGGAGCCAGGTTCAAAAGATTTCGGAGAACAGAGTTCACTGGAGACGTGCTACTGAAGCCCTATGTTCCATTAGGAACCCAAGGGACTAATAATAATAATAATAATAATAATAATAATAATAATTATTATTATTATTATTATTATTATTATTATTATTATTATTATTATACCCATGGTTAAGAAGTAAAAAATTACAAATAACCTAACTTAGTTTGGATCGACTATAACAGATAGACGCCCACGGTGTAAATCATGTCTGCGACTGTTTGTTTTATTTTCAGTATCCCCAGGGTGATTTAGTTCGATATTTTGCTGCATTTTCCAAGAACTCCAAGTTTTGTAGTTCCCGTTGTCACATCAGTGTTGACCTTTTTGACTTCTGGGTAGCTGACTGAACAGATGCAAAAGGTTTGACTCATCTTCGTTAATTCATGCCACTTTTCGCACTGTCGTAAAACATGTTCATGAGAGACATTCAGGAATTCGAATACTGTTTCCCTTGTATCCTAGGCCATGTGTAACTATGTAAGTAACGTAGAAAGCAGGTATAGAGTTCTAGGGTGAGAGGAAAATAAGTTGATGATGTTGTAAACTTTCAAAGACTCAGGTGGTTGAGACACGTGGTTATTACACCAGGTCACTGTCTGTCTTGTGGTGCAATGTCGAAATGAAAAAGGTTGAGGGGGGCAGAGTAAAACATGGCATCAGTGCAGTAAGTCTCTGACTGTTGGTCTGGGTTGTGTAGGGAAATGTAGACTTCTCGGTTGGGGTCTGCATGATAACAAAACCAGCGGGGTTGAAGACTCTAAATGACGTATCCACACATTATCATCAATGTAACCGTCATACTGAATTCAATATTCGCTCGTTTTTTCTTGCCATCTTTTGATGACTTCCTCACTTTTGAACGCTTTCTTCTCTATTTCCTTACCTTTCACTTTGGTGTTTGCTGCCGTCATGAGGTGTAGCAACTTGGGGGATTATGCAGTAACACCGGGTCCTGCGTTGGTACTGATTGACTGAGTATTCCCGAATAAGTTCGGACCCAGCATTTAGTTTTAAACACCGTATGATTTATTCACTAAGCTTCCGAATTACGACAGGCACATCTTCAACAGTCATAAGCTGTGATTAGAGCTTGTAACTTCTTACTGATGACAACGAAACTCAGGCAGATACAACAAAAACTCAGTCAAGATCCCGTAAACGCTCTAATATGATTGAAAATGGATACGGTCTGCATTTATATCATTGTTCCTATAAATTGCTTTTCATCTGCCAAGATTATTCCTATAAAAGTGAAAAAGTTTAAGTGAGTACTTTGGTAGAGACTTTTCGAAACTCTAGTTCTTTCCACTGAAGGTGTATACTTTGTACTATGAAATTACTAGGAATCAACAGAAGGTTGTCCGCAACATCACCCATCTCATTATGTGATAAATAAGACTTGAAGTGAGAAGTTCAGAGAATGATCCTCTAGAAATTGATTAGTTGATGCGATCAGGGGATTTGATCAGCATTTCCGCTCTCAAGCAAAACACTGCCTGATATACTTCAATGAAGATTTCGAAACGCACTCTGAACTCTCTCTTCACACATACGCACATACAACCAATCAAATCAACAATTCCTCAACCACTGTGTATATGATGCATCAGCTTGATATCCATAACGTAGTAACAAGCTTGTGTTGGAAATAGACAGAAAAGTGATAGAAGGGGTGGTTAAACTTGTGTGCGGTTAGCACTTTAACAAACCTAAGTTTGCACTCTAGACAGTTTCTGTACAAAATTGTAAAGGCTGTTTAAATATCAACCCTGTGACCTTCGTCAATGATGTGTTTTACAATGAATGATGATGGCTGTCTGTCACCTGCGTTTATCGATGTTTGTGAATCCAGCTCATTTTGTAGCCATTTTGAAACACGTTTCTTCACTCTCAAGTGCAGATCTCGACTAATCTTCTATATTTATGTGTCGACACACAAACACATGTAAATTGATAAGCACACTGGAATGTGATGCAATCGTTTATACAGTGTTGAGGTTAGTGTTGCAATATATGTTCAGTTCTCTCAACTACGATAAATCTAACTACATAACATGTTTCGCCAACGGAAAACCTCAGACTTCGTTTTTAAATTACAATGTGAGATTCCCCTCCACATGGCAGATCAATATAAACACATTTATTCGGAACAGAATACACACTGGGTTTCAACACTGACAGATTTCTGCGGCGGTTTATGAAATCCAATGGATATCCATTTTCTACTAATGTTTTAGTTAGTATTTTGATATCATCTTGTACTGAGTCTTCCATTCAAGGACGCTGGATCCTTTCGAAAAGGCATACTATGAAAGCATGTTTCCTGAGTATCAACCGTCTTACTGAACCGTCCCTCCTACGACAAAGGAGAATATCCAAGAATAACGGGTGGCTAAGTCTTTCAAGCGAATAGGTCGCATCTTCATACTCGTCACATATTACAATCACATCACCAACACATTTATTACAAAAAGTAACTTTATGAATGAGATTACCAACCAAACCTTCCGTAAATATCAGCTAACAATGGTCCTAAAGAACTTCACATGACCATACCAATTATTTGTTGGAAATATTCCCCTTCAAATACGGAACGAACTTTATCAGTATACAATAGTAGCAAATTTTACAAACACGCTGAAGGGATATATATATATATATATATATATATATATATATATATATATATATATATATATATATATATATATAATGAAAAGCCTTGGCAAACGTACATAGTCACAATGAAAGCACCAACTACTGTCTAAAACCATCCAACAACACAAAATTCCATATACAGTATGGTTGATCACAGCACGAATCCATCTACAGGATAGCATTCATCACTGACTAGTGACTAATTGGTCCTGGGTGATAATTGAGGGTGAAGTGAAAATTTGGACTGCATCCGGATTCGAACCAGCAATCACCAGGTTGCTGGTCTGGTGCTTACCAACTGAGCTACAGGGTCCGACTGCCGACCAGATTTTTATTTCAACTCAACCATCACTCAGTATCAATACTAACCTACCAAACCACGGCTACCTTGGATAGTCAAAGTGATAATTGTTTTCTTACTGCCTTCCAATTTTCGTCGATCTCTTGACGTTTTTATGCATAAAGCTTTGTGCTACTTACTAATAACAAGTCGTACGACTCATTCTCCTAGTGTTATCTACAGAACTTTGTTCGTTTCGTCATTTAGAATCATAGGATATTGCTATCTTTCCCAGCTCTTGAGTGTGATGTGCACCTATCAGTTTATCCCCGATGCTCTATTCCACCTCGAAAATTTGTTTATCTCGTTTCTTTTACCTTATCGTGGAAGTTCGTGAGTTCTTCATGTTTTGCATGGACACAACTCTGTTTACGTTATTGACTCACTTCCTGTAAGGCGGCTTTTGATGGCAATAAGCGCACAGACACCTCATGATCCAGAGTTTTTAATTTATTAGTCATCAATGTTTGTTAATACAGTACCGTAAGTCAGATAAATCCTGTGTTTTAAATTTCAGGCGTAACTCGGGTGTGGTTTATTTATTGATGGGTAACGTGATAGTTTTAGGTTTCAAATTTCTTTAGAGGTAATGTACACTAATAAATTTGAGAAAATGAAGCGTCGAATAACTAGTTTTTAGCAACACTGACCATCAAATTATGGTGAGTCAGACCTTTACATGAGACGCTGTTACTACCCTCCAATATTATTGATGACTACCAGTCGCACTACGCTTAACGTGGATGACCAGCTCAACATTACTAATTTACTGGGGTTAATCAGTAGAAATGAAAATGAGGGCTATAGAAGTGTATGAAACAACTCACCGCTGCTTCAACATTTGGCAATTTTATCTCTTCACTTTTAATAATCTCTGATTAGCATTATTATTGTCATTTTAATCAGTATGATATTTTGTGTTAGACTTTGATAGTGTAATACAACTTGTCAACTTCAACTATGATGTAGTACCTCCAGCAGTTTTACTCATCTTTCCACGATTAAACTAGTGACGGATTATGATGTTTCCAACTTTGAACAGATCATACTGGCCGGGTTGATGAAAGCATGTTACAATAACTCGTCTATTATGTGGTGGTTTATTTTCACCATCTGAAAATTTGTATTTTTAATCATCTTCTTTGAAGATCTCTTTGTATAATTGTCACCATTCTCTTCCTCATTACTTTCATGAATACGAATCAAACTAAGACGTTTAAGTTTTTTTCTTCTTTTTAACAAATGGTTCCACAAATGATGATGTATCTATAATAGGCTTCATATTTAAACGAACCTGGTTGTCAGTATCATTTCCATCTTCTTTACCACTACTGGTAGTAGTAACAAAGGTGGTGGGGGGTGATGGAAGTGACGGCAGCAGCAGGCGGGTGATCAGTAATGCCTGAGTCAGCCACTGGAGATCTAGAAATAGGAATGTGTAGTGAACTTGATGAGTGCCAAAACTTTGTGTTGGTGAAAGGAAAGGAATTTTGCTGTGCAAAGCAGCACTAATTGTATTGAATTTGTCTGTTGTTGGTTGTTCACTGTTTGTGGTAGTATTCTTGGAAGAATGCAATCACTTGGAGAAATTAGTATTTCACGCACCACCTCCTCTGGAGCTTGATATGAGGGTAAGTCTGCAATGAGAAGAGTGAAGAGAAAGATTGTTAAGTGAACACCATTCGGTTGAAAGTAAATTGTTTGTATCCCAGCTCAGTAAACCTAGAAATGTGAATAGACTACCTAATAGACCAGCATTACTTAGTTTAGTTTTTGAAACGCAAGCTTAGTACAACATAGGCTCAAAGAGTTACGCCATGCAAAATAATCTAGAGAGAATAAGATGAAAACGTGTCACCCAATGGAAACGAAAACATGAGTTTTCAGAGGAGCGGTCTCAAACATTTAAGACAGACAGACAAAATCAACTGTGAACCTCGCAGACAAGTGCATCACAAGTTGTCAACCTTCACAGTAGTATACAAAAAAAATGGGTACAAAAGACTGCTATCGAAGTCGACAAAAATGGATGGTGGGAGGGAAAATTTGAAAATTAAGGTTAGTCAAGCCACTTAACCTTCAGGAGAAATCAAAGACTGAATATGTTGTAAGGCCCAGCTTTGCATAAAACATTGTTATTGATTTGAACATTTTTAACTTGGCATTCTTACACCATTTTACGGTATAACTAGTAGTTTATTTTCTGCCCCACTGTAGTGTAATTAACTCTCTTACTATACCAATGTCTCAATTTGTGGACAAGGTCATATTTGTGTATAATATTCATATTTTGGACTGATTGATTAATTATTATACTCAGAGGAATAAACTCTCCTATCCAGCTTCTGTCTTCTCTCTATTCGTCCCGAGTTGCAGTCGGTGGCCCTTGCGCACGAAGTTAGCTGTCAATTAAGCATGCATATTATATCCGTTCGGAATACATAACATTTTTATCCGTTATTAAAGTCTGTGCTGTTGCTTTGGTGACTACTTACTTCACATTTAAAGGAAAACTATACAAACAAACTAACGGTGTTGCCATGTTTTCGCCTGTTTCAGCCATGGTACCTAACCTATTTATGAGTAAATTTGAAGTGTCTTCGTTCACTTACTAATGCCGAAAACTTGTCTGGGGTACATTAATGACACACTCGTAATTTAAGGACGAGACTATACCAGCCATTCTTCGATCAACTGAACACCATGGTGACGGCAGTCAATAAGTGTCAACCGCACTGATAACTCTGCTAACACTCACCCCCCCCCCCCCAGATCATTATCAACCTTCGACAACTCTAACTTCCAATCTTCCTTTACGCCTCTCAGTCAATAATACCATATCATCCTTAGTTTGTTTCAGCTCTCTCTATCACTTGACAACGGTCCGTGTTTACGGAACGGTCAAAGTTCTAGCATCACGGGCCATGGATGTGTGCTGTGTTTGTGAAACACGCATAAAGCATTCAAATGCAGTTATTCACTTAACCTCACCCGGTCATTGAGGTCATTTCGCAAAATTTACCTTTACAGTTTCTGGAGATTCGATGGTCAGTTCTCGAAGTCATGCAGGTGTAGGCATAACATTGAACAATCAGGCAAAAAGTATGCTGCTAGACTGGATCCCAGTTGACATCTGTCCATATGGTGTTTGGTTGAACGCTAGGGTGTGGACTAAAATGAATGGTGAAACTCACCGTTGTCACTTTGTTATCTCTGCTCGCACACTCACTGACTACAGCCCATATGAGGTGAAGGCTGAGTTCTACCGAAAACTGCCTAGCCTCCTGCTGAAAGGCAAATGTTCAGACATGGTTGTTGTTGCAGGTGATTTCAATGCACAAGTTGGTAGGCTAATTCAGGCAGAAAGCCTATTATGTGGAACTTTCGGAATCCCAGACGAACGAATAGATAACGGCGATTGCCTGTTACAACTGTGTGCGGATAACCATTTTTTTTGGCTAGCACGAAAGTCGGGCATGAAGACATTGTTTCACGTGATATCATCGACTTCAACTCGGGAGTGGGCACAGATAGACCACGTGGCTACCAGTTATCACTAAAGAGGGTTGGTAGAAGATCACCGCTCCTTTTAGAGCACGTGTTTGGATGCCTATCAAGCGCTGGTTCCAGCACGTATATTTCTGCGTCTGAATAAACGTGGGAAAACTACAACAGTAGGGCCATTATGAATGCTGTTTGACGATGAGAATACTAAGGCTGCTTTCAGTGAGAAATTGGCTAAACAGTTATCGAAACAGAAAGACGTCACACATGAAGACGAAGCTTGGCGCTATCTCCAGTTTGCTGTAAAAAAAAAGCGATGGCGACCGTAGCCAACTCTCAGAGCGTTGGTTGGAAAGGGTCAGCGGATCACAGCAGCTTCTTCTGAACTAAGAAATGCATGCGCACGCAGGTCTGCAGTCGCCGAGCACAATGAGGAGTGGAAGCAACTTAAATGAAGACTGAAAAATAGTCTACAAAATGGCCGCAAACAGTGGTGGGTAGGGAAGGATGAAGAGATGGAAAAGCTAATGATGACAGATAACATTAAACAATTATTTCGACGTAATAAGCAGACCGGAGTGAAAACGCCAATGATTAGAGAGACTATGGCGCAGAAGGGTGGATCTCCGATCCACTGACGAGAGAAACAATTAGCAGAACACTTCGAGGGACAGTTCAACTGGCATCCAGATGCCATGCCCTTGCCTGCTATCCAGACGAATAATGAATGGAACACTGAGATACGACCATCAACACATGCAGAAGTTGACAAAACTGCAAGAGGACCAAAACCAGATGGAATGACACTGGAGATTTTTAGGGCAGTGGTCGCGGACAACTGGTCAAGTGAACCAAAGCCATAGCTACTGCATGTGAGTCAGATATGATTTCCTCTGACTGGTTTCAATCGCTGATTATCCCAATCTTCAAGAAGGGTGAAAGTCTCCTTGCAACAACCACAGGAAAATCAGCCTGATGAATATAGTGTCTAGGATTCTAGGTCTGAGTGGAACTCGATAACAGCAATCCCGAGAAAATCAAGCACGTTTCAGATCTGGCCGTGGGTGTAGAGACTAGATATTCACAACCCACTAAGTTATGCAATACGGGCACATCTACCGACGTCTAACAGTAGGTGAATTTCTCGACCTGCAGGCGGCGTTCGACCCAGTCGATCAAGAGGTCTTATTGCAGTGTCTCTCACCAAAATGGGTACCGAATAAGTATATCGTTCTGTGAAAGGCTCTTTATTCGAACACCCGTAGGCATGTTAGAGTCTATAGTGAGTTGTCAGATGACCAGTGTACATCGAATGGTGTTCGTTAAGGATGACCTCTCTCCACTCCCACTCATTTTTGTCATAAACCTTCTAATACAGGTCTCCCTGTCATCATCTGACATTACAGTGATTGATCCGATCACACGAGACTTCTTAGTAGACCTAGGGTACGCAGAGGACAAACTTCCGTAAGGTGGAGACGCTGACAAGATACACAGTCCTCTGGACACTTTGAGTGACAATTTGAAAATGTGTGGGATCCGGTCCTCACTACCCAGACGCGAACTGTTGCCGCACGACTGATCTTCAGCGTTGCCCCGGCTAACAATATAGGGTGAAGCGGTTGAGTGTGTTCAACATTTCACTGGCCTGGATGCCGAATCAGCTCTGCCCTGGTGTGTCCTTCAGTGGCCGACGAAATCTCTGCAGGAGAGGAATGTCAATTGATGAGATTGTGAACCTTAATCCATTGAGATGGCTCGGACGGGACGCATGACTAGTCATCGTCTATGTCGTCGCACAATGATGCCTGAAGTAGGGCCACGTTGGGAGAAGGCTCAGAAAGGTCAGACTACATGGCATCACTGCATGAAGTCTTTAACTATTGGTCTGGGCCATGTAGGGAGATGCAGACTTTCCTGCTGGGGACCGTTTAACAACAAAAACTAGATTCCGACCTGTGGCCCAAATGTAACAGGCTTGCCGGAAAACCTGAAGGTCCTGAGTTAAACCGCTAGTGAAGTCATGGGTGCGCGTTGTTGAGGAGCCTCAATATGGGATTAAATAGATGTCTAGTGCTCCCGTTTTCAATAGTTTTTTTCAACTGATGTCTGTCCGTGATGAATACCAACATGCAAACAATAAATCCTCACAAACCTCCAAATTGAAATACAGTAAAATGAGTAAACTTCGTTACAAAGTGAATTTCGTTTCTCGCAGAAATATTCGGTGAGCGCTTTGCAGTCTTAATTGCGAATATTTATTCACGAATTTATATGTGGGTTCTGATACTATTATATACCCAGACCGAAGCAGCAGAACCACACCCAAGCTTTCGGCGTGAACTTTGATCCACAAGCTAGCTCAGAAGGGTCATGTGCTGCACCCCCATGGTCCCTGACGATGAAAGTATGTTTATATGCCATTTATCCGTTCTGGATCGTGTAATCCATGTACACAAGTGGCTTACAAAAAGAGTTTCCCAACTTCCGTAGGTCAACCCTCAACGTACACCAAACCAGTGATGACGCCGGACGCTCACTTTTGTAGAAAGATATCCCGTCCTGTGGAGATAATGAGTTAGACTTCCCTGGCAGAGGCTACGAAATTCACAAGTGTAACTTTCAAGATTGTTTGGATTAAAGTCTGGCAGTTAAACATGTACCTAGTTGCTGGTTTGCTTCCATTGCTTTAGTGAGGTATTTTGTCTACAGACTCAGCAGCTTAACACCACTTGTTTTGTCTTGCAACGTTGGGGAGTTGCGAATGTCAGACGGGCCTTCCATATCCGAGCTGAGATTTCGTCAGCAACCAGCCCGTTCCCGCTTATGCAACTCCCCAAGTAAGTGAATTAGTCCACACATTCCACCACTTTACTCTCTATCATTGAACTAGGAGAGCACTTGCAGCAGACCAGTCTTGGAGTATCATCTAACATTTGACAGGCACTAGCGAGGCACATACCAAACATGCTAATATTTCTGCACAACGTGTCCAGAAGGCCTGCATTTTCTCCGCATCTTTACCTAGCAGGACAATATTGTCTGGGCACTCTAAGTTAAGCAGATGGTGTCTAGAGAGTAAATGAATCCTTCTGAAGTCAGATGCACCTAAGGATACTTCGATAAGTACGTCTAGACGAAGTTCAATAAATAAGAAGGTTGACGGTGGGCACGGCAACTAAGTATTTAAATATTTGTAGTAACCAATTACATATTCGAGTGCAAAGTTTGGACTCATGCCTATATATCAGTGAAGGTGAAGGACAATCGTTATCATCTAGGTGGATATCAACAAAGCTTAGAGTCTGATGAAACAAATAAATCTTGAACAAGATAAGATTTACATCTGCTTAGAAAGTGGAAGAAAACTTACTTGTATCTTTATGCGACGAAGGCTCTGGTGGAGGAGACCCAGCAATCAATGATATTTCAATAAGAGGCTGGTTTCGTAACTAAAATACCAAAAAAGGACAAGAAACTCATCTGAAACACTTATTTAGCGTTTAATGATTTAACTAATCATATATGACTTAATACATTTATCCTGGTTTCCTCTTGTGCCTTGGATATGAGTTGGCATATGCTGGGCCGCTGCCTAGCTTAAATTGAAATACTAACCTAAGTGGGATTGAGTTGACAGGTGGGTCAGACGTAGCAACAGTTCAATAAGTCTCTGACTGTTGATTTGAGCCATGTGGGCAGGTGTAGACTACCTTGATGGAGTCCCCGAAAAGAAAAAATATCATTGGTTAGAGACTTGGTGAAATGGCTGAAAACCGGTTACAATGATACAGATGCATTCAATCTTTGACGTCTTCCAAAGCTTAAATATTTTCACTAATCTTTTTCTTCAAACTGTTTCCCTTCCCATACACTTTTGTCTACTTTGACATCAGTCTTTCTTCTATCTATTTGTTCTCATGCTACTACTGTGGAACTGTGGGAACTTGAACCAATGTGCTTTTGTGTAAGGTTCTACGTTGATCTTGTCTTTCTGTCAATCTGATTTCTTCTGACTGACCGTCTATTATTTTCTGATTAGTCGACTTGAAATGATCCAACTGGCAGTCATAATGAACTTTTAACTTTTGTGTGATTCTTGATCGTAGTTCACTTGTTTTGCTGTCAAACAACATGGGATGTGAGTTTGCAATTTATAATCTTGATAATAATAATTATTACTATTAAGTTTAGAACTCCTTATAATATTATCACGAGAAAAAAAGGCAGTCTTCTGATTGATTTAAAGCGACTTTTGAGGGTGCATTTTAAGAATATGAAGGTGATTACCACCACAAACACGATGATGACACTAAAAAGAACCACTGCGTATATGCTTAGTTGGACTCAAGAATGTCTTAGATATAGTTGTTACAATCTGCTTGATGGCTCGCGGTGGAATCCAAGGTGCGCGTTTCGTCCTCTTTGGGATGTACCCACATACTAGTGAGTGATGTTGTTCCTACTGACGCTCGAACGCAGTACTCATCTATTCAATCGCCAAAAGGTTATCCACACCCTATGAAAGCTATGCGGATAGTAGTAGTAATAGGAAGACTTCCCCTCGGAATTGTAGACTAAAACCCATGAAATTACGAAATTCAATAGTTCACCAACCAGTGATCGAATACAACTCAGAAACTAACAGCATTCATCGAACTGAGCTTATTGGGGTTTTATCATGTCCTTCATTACGTCTAGGATTTTTTACATTGTTGTCACTAATAGTGATAATCATATTCAACTACTGTATTGTGCATAAAACAAATAACCACCACAAAACGTTTTAAAGCCACTTTAATCAATTCCTAAATATTCAACTGCCTATTAAAAGATGAGTAAGGGGTGTGCGGCAATTCGCTCTATCCTACTCTTTGGCTATGAAACACTGCTGGTATGAATGATATTAGGATGTAGGATTCTTAAATTTCTTTTCCAGACACAACTCACCACTGTCCCCTTTGCGACACATAAAAATATATTCTTGATACCAAAGCTTATAATGTCCCGTCGTTGATAGCACAGGATTGACCGATCACTATTGGCATATGGGCTTCCGTGCAAATGCCTTGATATTAAAAATAGTCGCCGACCAACATTAAGAAAACCATGCTAGAACCGTAGCACAAAGGTGGCTAGCATGACTTATTGGTCTTGTGGACAACCCTCTGGCGTTTAAAGCGATCAGCCCTGGATTGAGCCTTAGTGGGGATAACACCATTCACCAGGAGTCCATATGCCAATAGTGGCTGATCAGTACCCACCGATAACACTAGAGGAACAGTAATTCCACATCATTATAAAGTAATGGTTTATTCGCCTGAGCGTCAGCAGCCGGGTTACCAAGGATTCAACAGACATATAATGTTATCAATTCTCATCCGTTAGATATGATTAGCCTAGTATACGACCAACACCATAAACTGGCTACGTTGGAGAATTTCAAATAGTGTTTAGAGATACCATAGTGAGTCCCAGCCTAGAAAGAGAGAATGAAGGTGTGTACTGCTACGAAGTTGCATACGATGGGCAAAGCATTTATTTTTACTGCTTATTCATATTAATTCTTTCGTCTGTAACAACAGCTAAACTAATCAATTTCTTGAAATGTTTTGGTTTGCGGTATATTCATGCGAACGATATGATGCCTCGATGAGATACGACTTACGACAGAATAACCACTTCTCAGCATGATGTTCAGTTGAAGAAGACAATGTGATTGATTGTATATTTACTTCAAACGAATGGTGCAGTTATAGCTGATAATTTAGTCGTTTATACATCTTTCAAAGGGCCTTGGTCAAGGAAACCCGAAAAACATATTAAAAGTGTAAAATGAGCCAATTGATGTTTTTAGTATCTTGAACCGCGTTAAAAATATGTATTATGGCGTGTAGCGAAAGAAAAGTTTAAATTTTACAATGATAATACATACACATTAGCTTTCTTAGGGATCGGACATGCCTAACATGAAATTTACCGAGTTAAATGCTAGAATTATTAACTCACGTTAGTTCTCACAGTGTAATAATTCTTACTAATTTCATCATGAACAGTACTGTCCACCTCTTTCAATGGGTTAGTTGTCAAGGTATATGATGACGACTGGATAGCAGCAAGATTAGTGGTTTGTTGAAAAACCTTTCGATCTGTCACCAAGTCCAAACCTTTTGTGAACTCTTTTCTGAATGCAAACAAAGTGAGTGACATAAAAAACAGTTACTTTTTAAGCTAAAATTTAAAACACACTGGAGCTAGTAATATAGTGAGTGAGTTTGTGAGAATGAAAAAGAATAGGAAATAAACCAACTGCGACTCAGTACAGAGGCTTTACGTGCTAGACTATAAGAGGCCTACGATACTTTCTAGTTACCAACGTTAAAGCATGTGGGGAGGGATTTTAGGCTTACACCAACGAGCCATATATTTCCGCCACTAAGCTTAAGCATAACACCACACTATGAATAATAAATAAAGGACGCTCATCTTTGTCTATTTTCTGCTTCATAGAAAAAACCTTAAGATAGTTCGACTGCAAAGTAGTTTGCAGTGAATGTAAATTACTCCTTCTAAAAGGGCAGCTTTGTGTTTAAAGTGGGGTTGTAGGGAAATGTATACTTTAGTCACTGAAAGTATAGGATCGTATCAGGTGACTTGGAACTCACGCGAAATTTCACGCCAAGCCTAAATACAAATCGCCACACAACTTCTCAAAGTAATAAGCACCAGTAGTCAAAAAGCTGTAATTTATTTAAGTCATCAAACCACTAACAGCTGCATTTTCCAACTAAAAGAAAAAAGAATGAGAACAAGCTACTACTACTAATAAACAAACCAAAGAAATGAAGGTAGACACTTCATAAAGTAATATTAATTTTATAGGGTTACTGTATTGCTCAGCTCAAGAGCTTCCCACTGACTCCTCACTCAATCCCGTACGACTAACGGTTGCAAAATAATCACATGTTCAGTGAAACTGATTAATGTGTTTAAGTTAGTTTTCGTTGCAAAGAATCAGAGATAACTCTAAAGGCCAGACACAGACAGATAGACAAAGTTAACGTAGAATCTTGCACAAAAGTGCATCGGTTCGAGTTGTCACACTGAACAGTAGTATACAAAGAACAAGTGGACAGAAAAAGACTGATATCAAAGTACACAAAGATGTACGGGGAGAGAGGAAATTTCAAAACGAAGGTTAGTGATAATTTTCAAGCCTTAGAAAACGTGAAAGAGTGGATATATCCGCACCATTGTAACCGATTTTCAGTCATTTCACGAAAAGTCCTCAACCACTCATTTCTATTGTCCCAGGGACCCCAGTCAGTTAATCTAACCCCCCATACACGACCCAGATCGAGAGTCAGAAACTACATCGACAGGTACCATGTCTCACCCTGTCCATCCTAAGCCTTCTTCGAACTTAATCCAGCTTCTACTAGCATTGCGCGTTCAGGTAGACGGTGAGTTGGCATGTGCGACACATATCCAAACTGCTTCAGTCAATGAAGGTTCACAATGTCATCCACCGACTCGTCTGCCTTACTTTCGATCAACCTGGATATTCGATTTGGCAATTACTATATTGTTATCATTTTGAAGGTTCCTGAGAGCTTCCCTCTCTGACTTGGGTAAATTAGATAGATAAGGCAACCTGGATATTACTCATATGGTGGTTCCACCATACCCGAGCAATGCTACGAGGACACTGATGGTCAAAGACCCGTAACCACTTCATATCCACCTTTTACGGCCGTCTCGCAACAGTACAACAGGAGAGGATAGATTACAGCGCGGTATACTCGCCTTGTAATAAGGAGTCTGACATCTTGCGCCACAGATGACGTAAGTTAGCCAATACCGAACGGGCTTTGTCTATCCCAGCTGAGATTTCATCACCAACTAGTCCGTTCGAGTTGATACAACCATGAAGGCCACTCAAGCAAACGCTGCAATAACCACCATTTGGGACACAAGACTACTACGACTACTTGTTGAGTGACAACCCGTTGCTGTGAGTTCACAGGATTCTCGTTCATAAAATATATTCATTTGTTACTGCTTTTAACCAGTCAGTAAACCCCTGAATAGAATGCAGCCAACTATAATCTACAAGTAGGAAAGGATGATCAACTTGAGTTCATCTGAAAAAACTGTGGGCTGGAAACCTCATATATACACCTGTCTTGTGTGAAACCTAATTCATCTACTTGATGATTTTCCAGTCTCAGTATCCCCTCTATCATGATCATCATCATGAATATCACATGTGATGGGGCATTATCGCGTAGCAGTCCAAGTTGCCACACATTATATCAGCGCATCAAGCAACAAAGCAATAAGATAAAAGATGAAAAATCAAGAAAATCTATCAAAAGCGGTAGAAAACAGTAACAGGGAGAAAGGAATAATTGAGAAAATACTGATTTCGATATGACGATTAAGGTGAGGATAATGTGTGGGTACATCTACGACAATGACATCGCATGTGAGCCATGTCACCTGGAGTCCCCAACCACTAATCTGTTATCATGCCGACCTCAACAGGGGAATCTGTATTCCCCTACAACAGTCAGAGACTTCATGAACTAATGCCACGTTCTAGTCTGGCTGCCCCTGACCTCTTTTCAATCAAAACCTATTTTAGCTAACATTATGCAACGAGGTAGACAGTGGCTAAGCATGTATAACAGATTTCCCAGCCATTTCAGTCGATGGCGAATCACAACTTCAACAACTGACTTTCCTCTCCGTAAAATTCTACGTTACTGACATGGTGACACCGCGACACACAGCCTACGTGCTACGAAGGTATCGATGGTCAAACACCAAAGGCTCATTTATTTCCCTCACCTTTAATGGCCATGTAGCACAGCTAAAGTAAAACAGAGCGAACTGTAGCACAGTGAATTAGATACTTGATAGACGATCAGATATCGTGGGGCTACTAAAGATGGCTTAAGCTGGCAAAAATTAGTCGGGCCTTTTTTTCGTGCACAGAATTCGTCAGCCATCAACGCACAGCAGCTGATACGACTTCCCGGATGAGTGAAATGTTCAACGCATCCAACCATTTTAATCCCTATTGTTAACGAAGGCTCCTCTGAAGACCAGTTCTGGAGCAACAATATGCATTTGAGTGACGAGAAACGTATCCCAAACATTTTTACAGTGCCATTCAAGGTGTCCAGAAAACTCTGAGTCTTTTCAGCATCTTCACCTAACAGGACTGTGTCGTCTGCGTACTCTAGATCTGCCGAGGTTTCTCCTGTGGTGAGATCAATTCCTATAAAGTTCGACGACAAGAAAGAGACCTCTGTTAGGACGTGTCATAAAGTTGATTAGAAATGGGGAGTGCGCATCCTTGGTGGACACCACTTGACGTGAACAGTTAACCTGACAACTGACCATGTGCTCTAACATGCTCACAGGTTTTTGAGTAAAGAGTCTTCAACAGAGTAATGCACTTTCTTGCCACTCCATTAAGAGATATTGCCATAAGACCTCTCGGCTGATGGAATCAAATGTTGCCTTCAGGTCAAGAAGTACAGCCAGTGTTGGGCATCGGTAAATGCGCCTGTGTTCCCGAACGTGACAGAGTGAATATCTGGTAGCTACACCCAGTTAGACCTGAAGCCTGTCTGGTTTTTTCCGGGTTTGCTGTTACTGAGTTCTATTCAGACGTCGAATGATTATAGAACCTAGAGTCTTAAACATTGTTCGTCAGATAACCAAAGTAGGGTTTCTCCCCTCTCTTGAAGAATGGAACAATCAGTGATCGATACCAGTCAGAGAGGATCACATCTGACTTAGTCCCCTATCATTGATTGTTCTGAATGATATTTAGATATGAGGAGTGCAAGAAAGTAATAATTACTTTTCAGGAAAACATGTCGTCTTTTGTAAATATCAACCTACAGAGCTGCGTTTTCTATAAATTGCAATTAGCCTCTGATACTGCAAGCCCGGTGAAAAATGCATGTGGAATTCCCTAATATCTCAAAATGTGTACACGACTTAACGAACAAACTTGGTGCTAACAATATACTGCTGTTGACTAAGTTATAATGTCAACCTGCCACTGTAATTATTTAGTGGCATGATAAACATGGGATACATTTTTCAGGACGAAACACTTTTCATCCTAAATAAATCCAATTACCATCACAATGACAGTCAGTCATTTGTGTGAGTACAACATAAGTCAACTTTCAGATACTTCATAGCCAGATGGTAAAAATTTCTGCAATATAACGTTGTAGGATCACTCAACTTTATTATTTATTGACTTTTCGACCAGTGACTCCTTAACATAACGGTGTAAAAGTATGATCGATAGAATCATCTCCGGCACACTTAATGGATTATAGGGTGGATTATCACTTCGCCTACTAAGGCTTGAACCGCTAATCAATACCGTAGTCCTCTTCCTACAATACATAAAACTTAAGGCGTGGATTAATGAACTTGGATGGCCAGAAGATTTAAACGAAGATATCTACCTCTGATTTCATGTGAAATATATATTCACAGAGAAGTGGTACTCTCTCTCTCCTTCCCTCTCACTCTCGTAGGAAAATTATGCACAAAAATTACACCGATAGCTGCTATCTTGACGTGGTGGTCATGCTTGCATATCACAATGACTCAACGAGCAATGCCGGTGGAACACTTGTTCCCTCTAGGTCCTACAATACCAGAAAGCTCTGCTGGATAATGGTAAGACGAAAAGTAGTTACCGCTACAGTTGTGGTGTAAATTACTACACTATGATGGGGGTCTGAGGGCGAAGTCGTACTGCTGTTAGCTGAATGGGGTGTGATAGCAGTAAGGTGTTTCCCTTGGATGACCAGCAGTGCCATACTGATGTTGCCTTCTCAGTGGAAGGGGAGTGGTTAGAAAAGGTCGGCCCCAAAAACAACACACTCCACCATACCCCCACGTTTTGCCGGGCCAGTGGTGTTAGTTCGTTTGTCGTTTCTTTTCAACCATCCGGCCTCAAAAATACAAAAGTTCAAAACAACCATGCAAAAAAGGCTGCATGTGACACACCTCAAGCAGATGTGCGATACGCTCTGCGGTCACACAAATCTCTTTCAGGTACATTAAGAAGAAATAAACTTCCACGGTGTGGGCAGCCAGGAAGTGTCAACCGCCCTCACAACTCTGTCAGCACTCATGTTTCATCAGACTCCTATCCACCTCCCCACCATTACCTTCTAATCTTCCTTCACGTCTCTCAACTAACGATACTACATCATCTTCAATTTCTCCTAGCTCTGCAGCCTTCGACAACCATCTGACTCCACAGAACAGCATCTTTGGTCTCCTTAAAACATGCTCCAAATTACATATTGCAGCCTTCAATGTCCACACCCCCCGTCAAATTGGTCAGCAGGCTTCGTTGGCAATGACTCTAGCCACTCGGGGCATGGATATGTGCTGTGTTTGTGGGACTAACATACAAGACCCAAATGCGGTTACTCACCTGACCTCTCTCGGCCATTCTGGTGAGTCCACGAAATTCACCCTTCGAGATTCTGAAGATTCAATGCCTAGCTCTCGTGGTCTTGCAGGTGTAGGCATAGCACTAAGCACTAGAGCAGGAAGCTCACTACTAGACTGGATTCCAGTTTGTAGTCGCCTCTGCGCTATCTGACTGAACGGCACAGTGAGAACTAAAAGGAATAGTGAGACTCGCCGTTGTCTCTTTGTAATCTCTACTTACGCACCCACTGACCGTAGTTCGGATGAAGTGAAGGACGAGTCCTACCGTGAACTATCTAGCCTCCTCTCGAAAGCCAAACGTTCGGACATGGTGGTGGTTGCAGGTGACTTCAATGCACACGTGGGTAGACTGAGTGAGGCAGAAAGGCACTTAGGTGACACTTTCGGAGTGCCGACTGAACAAACAGATAATGATGATCGCCTACTACAACTGTGCTCAGGTAACCACCTATTTTTAGCTAGCACAAATTTCAGATATAAAGAAAGACACTGTCTGACGTGGCGTCCACCAAGCTCAACTCAGCGTCAGACACAGATAAATCACATTGCTATTAGTCATTGCTGGAGAAGATCGGTGGAAGACTGCCCCTCCTTCTGGAGTACGTGTTTGGATAGCAACCACACATTGGTCCGGGCGCGTATATGCCTGCGTCTCAATGGACATAAGAAAAATTTGGCAACAAAACCACTATGAATGCTGCTGGACAACGAAAACGCTAGAGCCGTGTTCAGTGAGAAGTTGGCTAGGCAGTTATCGCAACAGAAAACTATCACTCATCTAGAACAAGCTTGGTACCAACTTCAGTCTGCTGTTAACGCAGCGCTGAAGACCGTGGCCGACTCCGAAAGAGTGGCTAAAAAGAGCCAGTGGATATCAGCAGCTTCTTCCGAACTAATGGATGCACGTTAACAGCAAGATGGTTACAAACCAGGCATAGTAAACAACCAGGTATCTGGACTAAGTTTCCTTGATGAATTCAATACTGGTCTGGTTCGCATTAACTGGATCCTATCATTAAGTCTTGGCTTTGTCGACTTCCCATATTTGGTGCATATTTGTGGCCCACAACTCATCTTTCAGTTTGCTAACCTGCTAGCAGTTGATTTTTGTCTAGACTGATGCGTGAGTTTGGCAGAGATAGTTCACTCCTGTAGCACGAGAATCTGGAAGGGCCATTGTCCTGTATTTATCTTTAAAGACAAATACATGAACCGACGGTGCAAAATACAAACTAACTATTAGTTGTAAATTGGAAGGCTTTATCAGTAGATGAGCCAATCTTTATTATCAACTTACGCAACTCCGAGAACGTTATATGACAACATGCTGTTTACTTGCACTCCGTCATACAAGGAATCTAAGTTGAACGGTTATAAAGGTCGTTAGTCCTTATGACTTTAAATTAGTACAACACAACAAACATAGTAGATGTTATTTGATGCAAACAATTACTACTTCTGACATTTATCTAGTGAGTAAAGCTAAAGGCGTAGCTGTGGTTGCATACCAAAGCAATGAAACAATTTCCTGTCCAATAACAAACACCTACTAACCTTTTGCAAGCTAGTATGAACCAGTTTCTTTCTTTTTGCTCACTTCCAGGTCTGGCGGAACGGTTCCAGATCTTTGGGGGATTCTGGTACAGCAGCTCTACCATCTCGTCTGCCATAGCTCTGGTTAGCCTGACAGGTGGTTGGGTGTTAAATAAATTTGTAGGGATTGTATGATTTATAGAAACGACTGTGGTGCTGGTGGGTTATTCAAGTGTCGTGTCACCAAACAGTTGCTTGAAGTCTTTTTTAAGGTAGAAAAAAAGAAACGATGTCTAGCAAGATCAAGGTGGAGGAAGTGCAAAGAAACAAAGTCAAAAGAAGCGGAAGGGGAGGATAGACCTAAGCCGATTCAAGAGAGACATGAGTGATAGAGAACCTTAATAAAAAGGGTTGGGTCACAAAGTCAGAGAGAAGACAGGAAGTATTCGAAGTTGTGGGGTCGAATATGGAAATGTAAGTGGTAATGTTATTCGTGCAGCTACGTTAACTGGAGATGAGACTGTAGCGTCATACACTTCCCCAAAATCAATAGCCTAGGGTTTGACGACTTCGACATTGATGCTGACCTTGATAGTTTAACTGGACTCGCTAAGCTGAAGGCATCCGGTCAAGCATCCTCGCCATTTGGCACGCTGTCGTGTTACGTTGCATTGCTCGTATTCGACTCTCTAGCCAGTTAGTTGGAACGCATCGGTATTTTGGCATAACCATCCAAATATACTATTCCATCCGACTACGCTATCGTGTTCTTCCTTGGTCTCGTATTCGTGGGTATATAACAAGTTCGAATAATTAGTGATTGGTCTTTGCGTCTGTCAAGTTCGCACCAGGACAAATCCTAAATTGGTGAGCCCGACGTGATCAAATATCCGACGTGATCACATATCCCGACGATCAATATCCCGACCAATAACAAGTATTGAATTGGTGAGCCTGTTCCATTTTATATTTGTTTATTGTTTTCATTTCGATAACATTTATATATCCATTTACTACACTTTCTCATGTCCGACCACACTCCCAAGCTTATTCGTATTAAGCCGACCTCGAACACGATCCAACTCGTGCCATATTGGCCAGACAATGCAGAAACATGGTTTCTGTATGCCGAGGCCGATTTTCGAGAACAGGGTGTCTCAGATCCTCATCTCGATTTCTCGCTGTCATACGTTCACTACCGCGAGAATTAAACAGGTTTGTTACAGCAAACATGTTTAATCCTGAAGTAAGTGACCCTTATGCACTTCTAAAGGCTGCACTCTTGAAGAAAAGCGATCTCACAGATCGCCAACGTCTAGACGAATTGCTTCGTAACATCGAGCTAGGCAGCCACTCAGCTACTGAAGTCCTCGCACGCATGCGAGAAGTAATCGGTGCACGAACATTTGACGATGGTTTCTTCCGAGAACTATTTCTCTCGAAACTACCACAACCGGTGCAAACCGTGTTGGTGACACTCCAGTCAGTCCCACTCGACGACCTGGCAGCTTCAGCAGATAAAATACTGGAGATATCCAGCAGACCCGTCTCCAACGTATATTCTATCTGTGACAAAACAGAGCGCCAGGATTCGGAGGTGACCAAGTTGTGCAACTCTGTGAAACGGTTGCTACGATCTCGAAGTCCTAGATCACGTAGCACTTCACAGAAACGCACCTTGGCGCATCGCAGCAAGTCGCGTGGTAGCCCTAAAACGAAACCCAACAGGGTGGAAAACCCTGAATGGTGCTGGTTTCATAACACTTACGGGGATGAAGCCAGAAAATGTCGTAAACCATGCCGTTTTAAGAAGGACACGAACTCGGGAAACGGTCACGCCGGCACGTGCTCACGGCAACCGTAGCCGGCGGAAAAAGCCGTTTGCTCTACGTCACCGACATTAAAACGAAAGTCCGCTACCTCGTCGACACCGGCGCAGAAGTTAGCGTTCTTCCAGCAACGACAAAGGAGCGTCATCTCGACCCATCCTTCAATCTTCAAGCAGCCAACGGCAAGGCAATCGCGACATTCGGGAGACGGTATGCCTACCTCAACTTAGGTTTACGCAAACCTATTCACTGGATTTTCCTCCTGGCAGACGTCTCTATGCCCATCATTGGCATAGATTTGCTGAACCATTACGATCTACTCGTAGATGCTCGCCGTCGACGACTGATAGATAACAACACAAAGTTATCTATTGGCGGCACCACCTATGTAGGTCCGAGTTTAGCCATCGTTAGGACTAAACAATCAGGCGACGCGTCCTACCAGGCAGTTCTGGAGAAATATCCAGAGTTACAACAACCGAAACACACTCTTCCGTGCATAACCAGCAATGTTATGCATCACGTCACAACCACAGGTCCACCTGTGGCATCCAAAGCTCGCCGTTTAGCCCCCGATAAGCTGCAAACGGCGAAAAATGAATTCGACCATATGCTGGAACTGGGCATTATCAGACCGTCGAACAGTCCTTGGGCATCGCCATTGCACATGGTGCCCAAAAAGGATAGCAACGACTGGCGTCCGACCGGTGATTACCGAAGGCTTAACGCCAAAACAACTCCGGACTGCTACCCTATACCCCACGTTTACGACTTGACCGCAACCTTATGCGGCATGAACATTTTCTCGAAAATCGACTTAGTCAAAGCGTACAACCAGATACCTATGGCAGCAGAAGATATCGCGAAAACAGCCATTATTACTCCTTTTGGCCTGTTTGAATTCCTGCGCATGCCTTTTGGTCTTCGGAATGCAGCACAAACATTCCAACGCTTTATGGACGACGTCTTCCGTGGTCTGAATTTTGTTCATGTCTACATAGATGACTGTCTAATTGCGAGTCCAGATAAGGAAACACACCTTAAACATTTGGACCTCGCATTCGAAAGACTCAAAAAACATGGCATCACAGTTAACTTACAGAAGTGTGAAATAGGAGTTGAATCACTCAGCTTCCTTGGGCATACCATTGACAACAAAGGTATACGCCCATTGAGAGATAAAGTGGCGGCTATCACAAACTATCCAGAGCCGACCACTGTGAAACATCTCCGCACTTTCAATGGCCTGGTAAGTTATTACCGAAGGTTTATCCCTAACTGTGCCTCTGTCATGAGACCACTCACAGATCTACTTCGAGGAACTGCGAAGTTCGTGTCTCTGGACAACGCGGCTAGACTTGCTTTCTCCAAAGTCAAGGAAGCCATTTCGAACGCAACCATGCTTATGCATCATGACCCCAATGCTCCTCTGAGTATTGCTGTTGATGCATCTGATTCAGCAATTGGAGCAGTTTTGCAACAGTTGACTGACAACCAGTGGCAACCGTTAGCCTTTTTCTCGAGGCGGCTGCAAGACGCGGAAACAAGATACAGTACATTTGGTAGGGAACTCCTAGCCATGTACTGTTCTGTACGCCATTTTCGACATTCTGTGGAAGGTCGTGATTTCATTATTTTCACAGACCACAAACCGTTAACGTTTTCCCTCAGCTCGGCGTCTGACAAATACTCCCCTCGTGAGTCGCGACAGCTGGATTACATTTCCCAGTTCACGTCAGACATCCGCCACATTTCTGGAGCAAACAACTCCGCAGCCGACGCACTATCTCGAATAGCTTCGATAAACTATATCGAGGGTATTGATCTCGTTGAACTAGCTCGGCGTCAAAAGGAAGACCTTGAGCTGCATCATGAGTTGTCGTCCACAACTCTCAAACTGCGACTTTGTCCTGTTGGATCAGACAAGGATGCAATTTTGTGCGATGTCTCTGCTAGTCAACCACGCCCAATAGTTCCGAAGAGTTGTCGACGCAACGTCTTCAATACGTTGCACAAACTCTCTCATCCAGGTGTACGAGCCACCATTAGGCTTATCGCACAACGTTTCTGCTGGCCTGGGATGAACAAAGACGTTAAGGAGTGGGCCCAGTCGTGCTTAGCTTGTCAAAAGTGTAAAGTCACGCGACACACGAAAAGCCCTTTAGGCTCATTTCTAGCCCCAGACATGCGTTTCGACCACGTCCATATAGATATTGTAGGACCCCTACCAGAATCTAATGGATGTACCTACCTTTTCACCTGTGTTGATCGTTTCACACGATGGCCGGAAGCAGTACCCATTAAAGATATTACTGCCGAAACAGTTGCTCGTGTTTTCGTCGAAAGATGGATCGCGAACTTCGGATGTCCATCCTACGTCACAACCGACCGTGGGCGCCAATTTGAGTGCGGACTATTTCACGCTCTAACGGCACTTTTAGGTTGCACTCGGTTCCGAACGACAGCCTACCATCCACAAGCAAATGGCATGGTAGAGCGTTTCCATCGACAGCTGAAAGCTTCCCTTTCAGCTACAAACATACCTCAGTGGACCGAGGCTCTGCCTCTAGTCCTACTAGGTATTCGTAACGCGTTGAAAGTTGATGCTGGATGCACTCCTGCAGAACTCGTCTATGGGACCACTCTTCGCCTACCAGGTGAGTTTGTTTCCCCTTCAACTTTCAAACATGTTTCCGACAGGGCATCTTACGTGACTAGGCTTACAAACGCAATGCGTTCAGTTAGGCCTTCTCCGATTAGACCGCAAACGACTGATGTTTTCGTCCACCCCAGTTTACAGAAGACATCACACGTGTTTGTTCGCCACGACGCTGTTCGTCGACCACTTGAACCACCCTACGACGGGCCGTTCAAAGTGATTAAGCGACATGAGAAATTCTATGTAATTGAGCGAGGCGGACGCGAAGATACTGTCAGTATCGACCGTTTGAAACCAGCTTATTTCGAAGGCAACCCCATTGTAAGTGACGTTTCAGCTCGCTACATCCGGCCGACGGATGA